CTCCTAGTGGCCAAAAGGAAGTCTTTGTTCGATGATAAAGCAGTGGAGATTGAGGAACTAACGTACATCATTAAACAGGTTAGTGACATCTCTGTTGTCATTCTCCATATATCTCAGTTCTTGCTTATTTCAGTTTATTGACTTTGAAGTTGCCTGTAGGTGTGTTGGTATTTGTGTTTACCAGAATCTTTCAGCTAACTACAATATTGTGTAAGAGCAAACCTCTTGCAGTGATCTGATATATGCCGTCTGTGTCTCTCATCAGGATATCAACAGTCTGAACAAGCAGATAGCGCAGCTGCAAGACCTTGTACGATCCCGCAGTGGGCAAAATGGCCGCCACATCCAGACACATTCCAACACAATTGTTGTCTCCCTGCAGGTACAATCTTATATCTGATATTGCTGCAGTGCACAGATTTTCCAGACTCTATAGGAAGTATTATCTTAAATATCCCTAGCTGTAGACAGTAGGGGTGGTTGATCTCATTTTGATTGACATGAGATGACTTGACTACCACACCTTTCATTTTCCTGCTGCGGAACAGTCTTATCTGTAAATGTTTGTGTTGCAGTCCAAGCTGGCATCAATGTCAAACGATTTCAAGTCAGTCCTGGAAGTGAGAACAGAGGTGAGGGTTTTTATTTTATTTTATTTATTATTTTTTTTAAATGGTCAGTGCCACACTTTTATAACATCATCAATTTCATGCCAAGCAGTTGTTAGGCTTTTAAATATTTGATCAGATCCTTAGCAAAGCAAAAATGCACAATGTTTACTGTTCACCACGGTCCTATGAAACCACCTGCTCTTTCTTTTGATTTTCATGTCAGTTTTCTTTTGTTTAAATAACTTGTGTTTTAAAAGAAGACAACATTTAGTTGAGTTGTAATGAGTGAATGTTATTTTATTGTTTTAACTGAGGCATATCTTTCCTGTTGTGTGTTTAGAATCTGAAGCAGCAGCGCAGCAGAAGAGAGCATTTCTCCCAGGCCCCTGTCTCTGCCTCTCCTCTGGTCGCCAATAACTTCAGTATGTCACATCTTTAGTACTGCTATTTTCATTTTGTGGTTCACACATCTGAACATTTATCCCTTTAGGTTCCAGCTTTTGCTTTTTAATTTCAGTTCGTTCTTAGTAATGAGTCAAGCTATTATGCTTTATTGCTAGTTAATATTATAGAATAAATAGTGTTTGGCTGTGCCAATACAATCATTCACTACGAGTGCCATCAGCAGAAAACCTTTAGACACATTTACTCATTCTGTATAAATATTTTCTACATAGTAAATTGATCACTCACAATGAAATAATGGTTATGTAGTGACTAAACATTGTAAACAAATTAAAACTTCCTTATATTTGAGATTCTTGAGATTTTTTTGTATTTAAGGGATAGTTCTCGCAAAAATGAAAGTTCTGTCATTAATTACTCACCCTCATGTCGTTCCAAACCTGTAAGACCTTCATTCATCTTCAGAAAACAAATTAAGATACTTTTGATGAAATCCGAGAGCTTTCTGACCCTCCATAGACAGCAAGGGTACTACCACGTTCAAGGCCCAGAAAGGTACCAAGAACATAGACAAAATAGTCCATGTGACATCAGTGGTTCAACTGTAATTTTATGAAGCAACAAGAATACCTTTAGTACCCTTGCTGTATATGGAGGGTCAGAAAGCGCTCGAATTTTGTCAAAAATATCTTAATTTGTGTTCCGAAGATGAACGAAGGTCTTACATGTTTGGAAGGACATTAGGGTGAGTAATTGATGACAATTTTCTTTTTTGGGTGAACTATCCCTTTAACGACCAGGCTGCACCTTAATTGAACTTATTTGTTGTATTTATTATCATTATTATAATAATTTATTTAAATATTATTTTTTATAATATATACATTATAAACTATACATTTTATATAAATAATTTTAGAAAACGTATATCTATTTCTGTTCTATTCTATTTCTTTTTATAATTTATTTCATTTTTTTTATATGAAAAACAGAATTTTTCACCTTGTCATATTTGTGGTTTTGTATGCACGCATGGTGTCTTTATTCTGTATTTAATGGTTTTCAATTTCTTGGCTGTCGCAGACAGCTCAGTTCTGATGCAGGATGAGTCCAGGAGTCTGGGAGGAGAGGTGGCCATCGACATGGACTCTAGAGCAAACCCTCTGCAGCTGCAGCTCATCGATGAACAGGTATCAGTCTCACAGGAAATTAGGAATGGATTGCAGTCTAAGGCTGCTGCTTGTAGCTGAAGGTTTGAGAGTATGATAAATGTTGAATGTTTGATTTTAACATCAAATGTCCATTTGTTATGTTTTTGTAGGACTCATATATCCAGAGCCGAGCAGATACCATGCAGAACATCGAGAGCACTATTGTGGAGTTGGGTTCCATCTTTCAGCAGTTGGCGCACATGGTCAAAGAGCAGGAAGAGACGATTCAGAGGTCAGACAAACGCATACACACCACAGGATTAGCATACTCCAAAACCAGACTCAACAGTACAGTACATGCTTCAGAGACATGCTGTACAAACCACACACAAACACTTACAGTAGCAGTAGTATTTTTTTTTTTTTAAGTCAGCATAAATGCCAGTGTGAGCGTTTCACTTGCATTTGTGACTAAAAGTTGATGTGTGCAAATATTCGTTGTCTGTTTCTGTTGAACACCAGGATCGATGCCAATGTGGAGGACACCCAGCTGAATGTGGAAATGGCCCACACTGAGATACTGAAGTACTTCCAGTCCGTCTCCTCCAATCGCTGGCTCATGATCAAGATATTCCTCGTTCTCATCATCTTCTTCATCATCTTTGTGGTCTTCCTTGCCTGAGAAGGAACGATCCTGAGTGTAAGGTGGGATGAAAACGGAGCCAAAGGGTTTGAAGGAGGAAGGAACAGGCTATGGACTTATGGGCGAATGTGCAAAAACACAAGTGGACCGTGCCGCAGGGGACTCTGGCTCCCGGGGGGAGGGCGTGGGGGGGTTCTGATGCTCAGTGGTGGGATGATTTTAGTCCGAGTAACTTGATGTTAATTCTGTCACTGTCGACTTTCACTCTCTCACACTAGAGGGAGATGGAGGATGATGGTGATGCTGATGAAGGTGGAACTGAGATTTACTGTGTATTTAAAGAGGAGGTGTTCTGATTCACTCTGTTCTGTTTAAGCTTCATCTACATCTGCATTAATATTTGAGCCTTCGTTTCTTATTAATAATCACATATTAAAAGAGAAGGCTTTTTCCCAAGTGGTTTGATTCTCCAAACTGGTTTAGTTGGTTTTTCTCAGTGTTATCCGTAATCAGCGATAATTTTTTTTTTACAATAAAATGTGACCTGATTCTCCTCATAAAATACGCAATAAATATGCAATAAAATGGGCAATTATTTGCCACTTATGGGTGAATCTCACAAAGAAATATCAGTCATATTTTACCCCCAAAAAGTGATAGGAAAAATTATTTATAATTAATTGTATTTTTATAATTAATTATATTTTAATACAAAAGTGATGTGTTTTTAGGACCATTATGACTTTTTTTCATGAAAACCCAAGTTCTCATATGTAATGTGAAAAAAATGCTGTATAATATTGATGATTATTAGGCTATATCTATATCTTTAAATTATTAATAATAGTATAAATTAAATTCAGTACAACAAATGTTACTGTGTTATATACTTACCAATGTACTGATAATAAATGTACAAATAAATGTATAAATGGAATATTTTTCTTTCACATTACATTCATGGGAATTTGGGGGGAAATGTGCTTAGTTGTCATTAAAATAATGACACAATGCAAGAAAAAAAAAAGAAAAAAAAATATATATATAAAATAAAAATATCTTAATGGTCCTAAAAATAGACATTTTCTTTTGTGGGTGGGGAAATATAAGTCTGACATTTTCTTACCGTTTTCATGAGATTCTCCTTTCTAGTGTTAAGGCCTTCTGATTGCAGCCCCTGTAAATATGGGGTCTGTAATATTATATACTGTTTAGAGACTTTCAGTTTCATTTTCTTTTTTTCTTCTTTTTTTTTTTTGAGTTTGATTCTGCCAAATACACAAGGAGGAGTTACAGGAAGTTGCCTGGTCTTATGATTTTGCTTCGTGCAGGAATAAACAAGGTGCGAATGAAGACCAGTGTTTTATACAGTACTATAGAATTTAAAAGATCACAGTGCGGTTTAAAAGGCCCAAAGAGACTCCAGACGGATCTAAAGCTATAAACTGCTCATTCATTACATCAGGACGTGTTTCGTTCCAGGCCAGTGCAGATGACGTCTGAACATCTGGTGATGAAACCGATCGGTACTCTGAGAACTGAACGCTGGGTGCGTTTCCTTCATTTGTGAGGAGCAACTTTGGCCTGATGAACATATTGGCCATCTGCGCAAAGAACTGAAGATCAGCTCCTTCGTGCTGTGATGCTGTGAATAATGAAACAGGAGAGGGAGCTGGCAGAGATGATGTCTTCTTCACTTAGAAGCAGCATTTTCGAGGTCAAACTCTCTAATTTGGTAAATCACAGACTTTCTCTCTCCCAGACATGCCACACTATCTCAAATCAAACTCATGAACGATGTACAGTGTATTATTTAATGAGCACTTTTTATGAAGACTCCTGTTTCCAGGCTTTTTTAGCTGAATGGTCTGCATCTCTTGTATAAACTGAACACTGTTGTTATGTAAGGACAAACAGTACATATTAAAATACATCTGAGAAACTGATTATGGCTAATGTTGTTTTTGTCGCTGCGGCTGTAGAATTTTTGTAGAGTGAATCTCACAAAACATGGAATATGTCGCACCAAAATGAAAAGAAAACTGACATTGTTTTAATAATTCAGCAGCACATTTCACATTTTGAGGGTTTTATTATTATTTTGTTAAAAAAATTTTATTCATTACTTTAAAATAGTGTACAATTTACAGATTAAAAAATATTATTTTAACTTTTTTTTTGTTTGTTATTTTGTTCCCTTATTTTATAACACTTTTTTTTTTTTTTCCAGAAATATGACCTGGACATATTCTTGACAAGTTTTGTGAGCTTCACTATCACAGAAAAATTGAGCTGTGAAAATGCACACATTTATGCCAAATATTTATATTTACATCCAAATATTCAAAATATTTAAGCACACGTTAGAAAGTAAAAAAAAAAAAGATTAGGCCAGTGTTCTTTGGTTCGATTAACAAATGAACAGTGTTTGTCTTGCAATCTGAAAGCATAAGCTTTAGTCTTTCAAGATGTCTCCTTGAATCGGATTTTCTTCCCTTCTCTTGTTCTTTGCCGCCGCCTCTTTTTTTCCTCCTCCATTGCCAACTTAAGCTTTTCGAATCCTTCTTTCCTCTGTCTTTCTCTTCATCTCTTCCTTTCGTTAATCTCTGAGCCGCCTGCTCAAGCGGAGTGATCTCTGGCATGCTGAGGCTCCGTCCCTTCCTGGTGCGCATGGCGGCTGCTTCCTCGTCTTCATCAGACCATGTGTTTTCCTCTTGCAGGTCGTTGCGGGAACCACCGAAGCTTCCCTTCCCGCGGTTCAGGGTGCGGAACTTGGATCGAAACGTGACGAAGGAGAGGCTCTTGCTGCGCTGTTTTTCCCAACGGTTCACCCGATTCTCGAGCTCTGCGTCTCCCTGAAGCTCATCCAGGCAGTTTCTTAGGACGCCCCGGAACAGTTTGGGGACGTCGTGCACCTCCGCCTCAAACTCTGACAATAGCTTCCTGAACCTTTCAAACAAACAACAAACATCAAAATCTTAGAGATATTACATGATTCACCTCTGTCACTATAACTCTTATTGGGCAATACCTACCAGGGTTAAGTAAAACTAAAGCAGCATAAAACATTTTTGTTACTTGAAATAACATAAATCTTGATGGAAATAAAATAAAATATTAAGAAAAAAAGGAAACTTTCAGCTAGTTGCCAAGGAAACACTTCTCATTTTTGTTTTGTTTACCGGTAACCTGATGTACTAAAATAACTAAAACTAAAACTGTATGAAATAATACAGACGACAAAAACAAAAAAAATGACTAAAAGTAACACAAATTAAAAAGGAAAATATAAAAATAACTCATTGTACATTTACATTGTTTAAAATAATCACAGTAAGTAAAAAAGATTACTGGAGTGAATATTTACAAGAAAATTCTGCTTAGTCTTTCTACTTTAAAATGTAATGTTTAATTCAGTGTGTTACCTGCCATTTCTTTGTAATTGTAAAACAAGCGATTTCTGTTTACTACTAATTCTAATATTCTAATAGTATATAGGCTATGTGTATATATATATATTCATGATACTAAAATAAACTAACTGAAATAAGTTAGTTAAAACATTTTATTCCACATGTACACACAAATACACATATAAAAATAGATTAAAACATTAAATACATTAACTTAAATAAAACATTACTAAATCTTGTTTTATTTAAGCTTAAGCTAGTTGCCAAGGAAACATTTCTTATTTTCATTTAGTTTTACTTGGGGTACTGAAAAACCTAAAACTTAATAAAAACTATATATATATATATAAATCACAAAAACAGACTACAAAAAATTACAAAAATTTTAACAAAACTTAAAATGAAAATGGAAATTATTAAAACCTAATTCAAACTATTAATAAAAATGATAATATTATCTCAATGATACTAAAAAACACTGATACCCACCTGACAATGACCGGGCCGCACTGTTGAGGTGGGATCTGTGCACAGAGGTCCTGCAGTTCCAGCACGTCTCCTGGCGTGAGCTCGTAGGGGACGTGTGGCTGAGGGCCGGCCAGCCAGCTGTAGTCTGCAGAGGAAGAGTTGCGGCGTCTGCGAGTCTCTGCTGCCTTCTCCAGCTGGATTCGCTCGGTCCGTTTCGGCCAGCTCCAGCATCAAATGGCGCTTTTCCACTGCGTGGTACGACTCGGCTCGGCACGGCTCAGTACGGTACGGCATGGAACGGCTCGGCTCGGTTTGCGTTTCCACTGCAGTTCAGTACCGCTTTAGAGTGGGCGGGATTATTCACGTGTCGTTTATAGTTGCGCCGCCTCTACTGCCGCGACTCCTGAAAAACGTTTTCATTCTGCCTCACCCCATCAAGCTCTTGCTGGATCCGCTCCTCTGCTATCAACGAGAGGAACGTCTGTACTTCCTCAACAGACAACAAAACTTTTTGGTTGTTAAAAAAAGGTGCGCTTGTTCAAAACAGTTGCGTTCGATCCTTCGCCGGCTGTGCTGATTTAAATCTAGCGGTTCTGTTGTGTTTGTGTCGCAAGTTCAGTGACGCAGGTAGTGACGATTCTCTCCGGCCAATCCGTGATCAGCAGAGTTTACACGTCACGTTTTGGTAACGGTACGGTTCACTTGGAACCTCAACCGAGGTGGTACTAAAAAAAGTACCAGGTACCAGGTACTGTACCCAGTGGAAAACCCCCAAAAAGGCACCCGCCCGGAGCCGTACCGTGCCGTACCATGCAGTGGAAAAGCGCCAAAAGTGTTGGTCACCAGCTCCTCTGGAGTACGCTGGCCGGGAACCTTCGGCTCCAGGGAAAACACTACTGACCAGGGAAACATCTGTGAAGGCAACAACCATTCAAATTTGAGTTATAACCTTCAGATTTTAACATTGAGCACTGTTTGCAAGTGATTGCCAGATCAGCAGATTTCATTTTGACAGAGACTTTTTTTTGTTGTTAAACATTTAGAAATGACATAAAACTGTATTTGGTGCACCAATACCAAGTCAACCTGATTATCTATCTATCTGTCCGTCCGTCTGTCTGTCCATCCGTCTGTCTGTCTGTCCGTCCGTCTGTCTGTCTGTACTTCTGTCTGTCTGTCCGTCCTTCTGTCCGTCCGTCTGTCTTTCTGTCCGTCCGTCTGTCTGTCGGTCATTCTGTCCTTCTGTCCGTCCATCTGTCTGTCTGTACTTCTGTCTGTCTGCCCGTCCTTCTGTCCGTCCGTCTGTCTGTACTTCTGTCTGTCTGTCCGTCCGTCTGTCTGTCTGTACTTCTGTCAGTCTGTCTGTCTGTCCGTCCGTCCGTCCGTCTGTCTCTGTCCGTCCGTCTTTCTGTCTGTCTGTCATTCTGTCCTTCTGTTCGTCCGTCTGTCCATCTGTCCGTCTGTCTGTCTGTCTGTCCTTCTGTCCATCTGTCCGTCTGTCTGTCTGTCTGTCCGTCTGTCTGTCTGTCTGTCCTTCTGTCCGTCCGTCTGTCTGTCTGTCATTCTGTCCTTCTGTCCGTCCATCTGTCTGTCTGTACTTCTGTCTGTCTGTCTGTCTGTCCGTCTGTCTGTCTGTCTGTCCTTCTGTCCGTCCGTCTTTCTGTCTGTCTGCCATTCTGTCCTTCTGTTCGTCCGTCTTTCCTTCTGTCCGTCTGTCTGTCTGTCTGTCCATCTGTCCGTGTGTCTGCCTGTCTGTACTTCTGTCTGTCTGTACTTCTGTCTGTCTGTCTGTCTTCTCATCTATATATCTGTTGTCTGTCTTTCTGTCTATCTATATATATGTATATATACATTTTAAACATGTAATTTCTAATATGATAATATTAATGATAATGTAATATTTAATTATTCTAAATTATTATATTTATTATAATAATATCAATTTAACTATTATTATTTCTATTATTGTTGTTATAGATTAATAATTCTAATAATTTCTTGTATATGTTTTTATTATAATTATTATTTGGAAAACTTTTTGGAAAATTTTTACCTTTTTGATCCCTCAGATTATTCATGTTTTATATAGACATATTTAGTATATGTCTGACTGTTTGGTCCACATTTAAAGGCCTGTTTCAGTGCTAAATAGTATTGTATATAATACTAATATATAGTTTGCATCCCGTATAGTAATGTACTATAAAGCAAATACCGCTCTATTCTATTTACACCCTTGTACTCATGCGTGGATAATTATCAAAATTGTTAATTTCATATAGTCAACTGGATAATTATTCAGTGCAAATTATCTCAGGGTGCAAATATCTGCATTGTGTTACTGGTATTATTTGGAATTATAAAGACGTATGGATGCTCAACTAAAGTTGAGTACAGGAGCAGGACACAAAGCAACAAAATAGGTGAACAAATGTAATTAGCCACACTCTTGATATTATAGCAGCTGAATTTTATTTTGCAAATGCAAAATTTTATATATATGTATATACTGAAGTTGCAAAAAAGGATATTACCTTTCAAATAATGTGAGTTTTATTCCTGTTTTAATGTGAAATATCTTCAAATTGGACCCGAAGATGTAAATGTAGAGCCAAAATATTAAAATCCAGGGTTTGGTTTCCAATCTAAGCACTCCAGAGGAGACAGCTCTCTCCTTTGCGTTGTTTTAGACACTGTAAATGTGTGTATGTAATCCTATATAAATATGCAAGCTGGTATTTAGCTATCTGATTAGCTCAATGAACACACACCTTGCATATCTTGTGATCTCCTGCTCATCCGCAGGAGCTGATTGCACAATATCTCCTCGCGCGCAACATGTGTGCACTGAATTATTGCACTGATTTTTTTTATATATAAATTAATGCACTGAATTTGTATTTATTACATCATGTTCATTTTAGACTATTAAGGAATTTCTAATTAAATCATTTGTGGCACTTTTGAAGAGTAACAAAGCAACTTTTATTGAACTTAAATTTCAATCATTTATGACCATTAGATATTAAAGAAATAGTTCACCCAAAATAAAAATGTACTGAAAATTCACTTACACTCAGGCCATCCAAGATGTAAATGAGTTTGTTTCTTCATCTGAACAGATTTGGAGAAATTAAGCATTACATCACTTGTGTAATTACATCACAGTGAATGGGTGCCATCAGAAAAACATCACAATAATCCACAAGTAATCCACACGACTCCAGTCCATCAATTAACACCTTGTGAAGCGAAAAGCTGTGTGTTTGTCATAAACAAATCCATCATTACGGTGTTTTAACTTTAAACTGACACTTCTGGCCAAAATAACAGTCCATAATCCATGATAAAGCTTCCTCCAGTGAAAAAGTCCATCTCCTATTCTCTCAATCAAAATTTACCATCATATTTTTTAGAACTGTTTTGGGCGGTTTTCGTTGTAAGCAGTGCTTGATGGATTATTGTGATGTTTTTATCAGATGTTTGGACTCTCATTCTGACGGCACCCATTCACTGCACAGGATCCATTGGTGAGTAAGTCATGTAACTCTAAATTTCTATGAATCCGTTCTGATGAAGAAACAAACTCAAATTTACATCTTGGATGGCCTGAAGGTGAGTAGATTTTCAGTAAATGTTAATTTTTGTCTTAACTATTCCTTTAAGTTCTGCTAGACACCAACAGGTGGTAACATCATTACTCAGAGCTGCTTAAGGAGTTGTGTAACCCACACACACATTGTCTTAATCATTATGTATCTGTACCCAACTGTCTGTGTCTGATCAGCCCGAAAGAGGGAGAGAGAACAGAACTGTAGGTGCTGTGATGGTTTCCGCTCTATTCAGCACTTCAGAGGTTTAATCTGCATATGTGTGATCATGGATTACAATGCACTCCTATACGTTTCTCAGAAACAAGGGCCGTGGCGATGGCGCTGTTTATGCTGGTGTAGACCAGTGAGAGTGACCAGTATGTTACATAATGCATGACTGATGTACTAGTAGGTGCATCTTGTTTCTCTAAATAATTTATGCAGGTTTTTCTTCTTCTTATGGTTTAACCTTCATAATTTTGACTCAAAAGCACTGATTTAATATGTATCTTTTTTTTATTTATATATATTTGCCCACTAGAATTTGTGGGATGCCTATTATGGAAAATACTTCAACTGAATTAATGAACTAAAATCCATTCTAATCTTAACAATAATGGCAGGTAATTGTATGAAATTACAATTAAATACAATACTAAAGTAGCCATAAATATCCATAAGAAATCATATCATGGTAAATCATAAATGGTACATTTTTATGTTTTTGACGAAATATCTGTGAAATATCTGTAGATCTCTGTGTTTACAGAGAAACTAAACCCATACTAAATTTAGGGTTCCCACTCCTTATAGGCCTAACCCAGCTAACAAAAAATATATTCTAGGAACGTTTTCTAAGTTTCTCATTAAGTTATGAAAATGTTATTTCTGAATGTTCTGTGAACGTCCAAAACATCCACCTTTTTAAATGTTTAAAATGTTTTTTTTCTCTCTCTCGTTTATGTGAATGTTAGAGACAACATTAAGGGAATGTTCCATTTTATAATCGCAAACATTATGGGAATATTAGTTTTGAATGTTCTCTGATCCATCTGAAACTAATATATAATAGCCTTTTTTTTCCTTTTTTTTTTTTTTTTTTTTACGTTAGACGAAGTTAGAAGGTCCAGCTTAACTGTTTTAGAAAAACATTCCATAAACAACGTAAAAAAATTAGAACGTTAACATAAGAACGTTAATAAAGACCAGATTAACGTTATTGGAGGAATGTTTGATCATATCTTTTGAGAGCCTCGCCAGGACGTTAGCCACAGTTCTGAGAACGTCCCTGTTAGCTGGAACTAGCTAATTTCTAACCTAATTTTTGAAAAACCTTTCTAGGATCTATTTTTCTGTTCAGATCTGGAAATCCCTCTTTGAAAATAATGTCAATGTAAAATAATGTGATATAAAACAGTCTGAAATAAAGTGTTTAATGATTTTGCTTACTCAAGTAATTTTTTAATATTATAAATTATATACTTTGAATATAAAATATTTGTATTATTTTATTTGTTGTATATATTAAATCAGCGAAATTCAGTATTATATTAAAACAATGCTTTTGAAAGGTTCTTGCGCTGACCTGCGGTTGCCGCTGCACTTCAAGGCCCCGCCTCTTTATGAACGTCACGGACCCCACACACGCCTCTCGTGAAATCATGCTCGGCGGTTCCGAGGGGCACGAGATAGCGACCGCGTGCGCTCAGTTTTGACTTTTAAAAATAACGACAATCTGTAAACGTTAAACGACCAGACGCCTCACATGTAACAGATATACATATCGGATCTACTTTATTAACAGCCACGTAAACGGTGTTCAAGACGTCAGGATCGCTGTGTTTTAAAACGATCAACATTTCAGAAGTCCCGGTAAGTGATGCCACATTGTTTGATTTAGCTGTAGCATTTCGTTTTATCAGACGGTATTTTGCTCTGCGTTTGTCTTTCTCAATAAATAAACTATTTTTATTGCACTGCTGAAAGTCTTCAGGTTATAGTTCGCTCAAAACCGGCCAGCAAATTTACCAATGCTACTATGGCGAAGGTTTAGCTCATGAATATTAAGTCTAGTCTTTTTCGCAGCCTTCATTCACGAAGCTTAATTGATATTCATGAGCCAGGACTTCGCCATAGTAGGATTCATAAATTTGCTGAGGTTTATGTTTGTAAATATACAGTGGATGCTGTAAACGTAAGGCAAGACTGTTGTTGAACGTGTATAATCGTCTCGGTAGCAAACACGGTTATTAACCCAGCCTGGCGTCAGCTGTATTTGAAAGCACCGTCTTTGATGCTTTGTAATGGAAATGAAGGTGCATGGAGAGATCTGACCAGGATGTTCACAGATTCCGGATTGTCCTCATTCCTCTCTTTTGGCAATCCAGTTCTCACTGTCAGTGACTGAGAAGAGAAACTAAACACGAGATTGAGGGTTAATGTAAATATACACTTTCACTATGTGTGTGTGTGTCTGTGGGACTGTCCAAACCTTTACTTTAGTGAAATTATGTAAGTTCCCTTCAAAGAATAGTTCACCCAAAAATGAAAATGTCTTTATTTACCTAATTTGTTGAACAAACATAGACTAAACGTATGTAGGTTGTGTGTGTGTGTTTATATGAAAAAAATTCTAGTTATAATGAAAGGGAATAAGAATTGGACCCGTCAAGCTGTAAAATTACCTAAATAAATAAAATCACCAAGTATGGTAAACTTGGTGCATAATCCACATCTTCTTACACCTTATGAAACTACTGTATACAAAACAAACCGAAATAACTCATTATGCAGAAAAAAAATCTTGACGTCGTCTGCCTTAACTCAACTTCGCGTGTTCATTCTGTGCATGCATTGTTCTTTTGAGTCCAATAATTTAATTGAATTTATTGATCTATTACACAAAAGGCGGTCTGAATGGTTCATTCAGGAATCGGACTAATCTGGTTTTTGAGTTTAACTGACAGTCCCTGTCCTTTGTAATTCCATGGATAAAAACAACCAGTACAATTGTCAGTATTTCTTTTGTGTTACAAAGAAAATAACATGCCATACAGGTTTGGATGAGTAAACAATCACAGAATCTTCTGTTTTCAGTTGAACTTGAGGTGTTTTGGCAGCAAAAGTCCCTTAAGAGAGTTTCCATGAACACTCTGACAAACACACACACCCTCACCATCGCTGTGATTTTTCCTTTATATAAAAATGCGGACACAAGGATTAATTTTCCTTTTTGTCATTAGTGAATGTTAAAAGTATGTGAACTGATATTTCTGGTCTGAAACAAGTACAGACAGCTGAGAGTGTCTCCCCTGAGGCAGCACACCAGATCCTCGTGAACAACATTTTAAGATCTTTCTATATCTCTTCTGTGTCAGCACTGGAAGATGAGCAGCCGAGCTTTCTGAAGCATCAGTCTGTAAGCACCTGCGGCGATGAGCTGGGCCGGAGACGACTGGACCGTGGGTCTGACGGGTCACGTCCTACAGAAGGTTCAGCAGCTTCAGGCTCAGAATGAGAAACTGAACAAGGAAAAGCAGCAGAGGCAACTGCAGCTGGGCAACTCGGAAGCAGCTCTGCATAAACAGAAGCAGAAGGTGTGTTATGGCGGTTTAATTGAGCGATATGTACATGAGCATTTTAACCTTGTTAAGTCTGACATATAAAAAAAGAATCTGAAAAACTTTTTTTTAATGGATCAGTTTATTGAACCTTTTTTTGCGCATGTTATTTGATACATCGGGCCTTCATAATTTATATAATATATATACTGAGAATATGGAGCTTGAAAAATAAAAAAACAAATTTTCCCCAAACTGAGCAAAAATATGCAATTCAGTTCAGTTGCTGGTATTTATATGGCCAGAAAGTTTTTTTTTAGTTTAACTCTTTTTATTGATGCTGTTCAGAGAGATACAAAAATTAAAAAGAAAATAGAACAGTAGTTTAACAGAGATCAAAATTAAATTAGTAAAAAAATTCCTTACTCTCGGAGTCAAACACAAAATAGCCTACAAATATGAATGCTAGCACCAAAAACAGTACAAAAAAACAAAAATTAAGAAAAAAAAAAAAAAAACGTAAAAATGAAAAAGTAAATATGAATATATACATAAAATGCAGTAGTTGGAACAATTCTGAGGAAGAAAAAAAGGGAGAAACGACTTGCACCCAAGTACATAAACACTTCCAACAATATGTTTTTTTTTTTTCTCTGTGCTTTCCATTTATTAGTAAATCAGGGGCAAGAAAACGTAAAGGTCAGGTATAGAGAAAGGGTTTTTCTTATTTTCTTACCTCTTCCTTTAAGAAGGGTTGCCAAGTAGTGTGAAATTTTTCTGTATTACCAAGTATTGTAAATTTGATATTTTCTATTTGAATAAGCTGCATCAGGTCGTGCAAAGTAGCTGGGTGGGGAAGGATATTTCTAGTTCAGTAATATAAGCCTTTTAGCAATTATCAAGCAGAAGGCGAGCGCATTTGATTTTGAGGGTGATAAGGAAACATTTGTGGGGATGAGTCCAAATAATGCTACTAGGGTGCATGGTTCAATATCTAAAATAAAACAATTAGAAATTGACTTAAAAAAAATTGATGCCCAGAAAGAGGTCAGTGCTGGGCAAAGTCAAAAAGTAAGATAAAGAGTAGCTGGAGCTTGTTGACACAGATCACAAGATTGATCAAAACCAGGGTTGATTTTAGACAATTTGTCCAATACACTATGTCCAGTTGTGCAATACACTATGCAACAAAAAACTCACAAATAGAACAAATAAACTTTCCTCAAAAGCCTAATGGATCATATTTGATACTCACATTTAAACATGATTTTTCTAAAAAATAATAATTATATATTACTGAAACATTAAGAAATATTATTGAAAATAAAAAATGTGTTCTTGTGTTTACTTTATAAAAATGAACATGAACCACGACCTGAAGGTGCATGTTTTTACAATTATACTAAAATGCCTTTTGCTTGCTAAAAACATGAACTATCGATCAAACAACAGAAGGCATGTAGTAGATTGTGTGCAACAGATTTCTGAGCAGAGTTTTTATGATATTGATAATTTAGAGGCTTTAGCAATTCATGTATCAAATATGATACAGAAGGCTTTTTATAGGGTTAACAGAGGCACTCTAGCAATGCAGAAAAGCTGCCTGCGAGGACACCAAATGGAAAGTTGGCTAAGAGTTCCAGCACAGCTGTCGGGATGTGTTATGTAGCGTCTTCCTCTCTGTCAGTATGAGGAGGTGCGTGTGGAGCTGGCCGCGGTTCAGAGGGAGCTTGGAGGAGTGCGTGAAGCAGTGCAGGTGGAGGTGCGGGCCAGAGAGCGTCTGTCTCACGACCTGCAGGTCAAAACAGGTCAGGTGCACTCGCTGGAGGGACAACTCGAATCTGCCAGAAAGCTGACACAAAACCTCACACAGGAGATCAAACGGTGAGACGCACACACAAATCATCCTGTCTGTTTACATACCAAACTGAACCAAATCATATGACAATGATTAGCAGTTGAAATGTCATTTTATTCTTACAGTGATCCTTGCATCACTACTGTATTTATTTGTCTGTATTCAAAAATGAAATAATGTTCCAAATTAGGGTTGCGCAAAAATTTTTGAACTAATCTTTTATAACCCCAAATTGTTTGCGGACCCCATATCAAAGTGTCGTCAAAGTTCTGTCATCAGTTACTCACCCTTATGTTGTTCCAAACCTGTATGCATTTCTTTCTTCTGCTAAATACAAAAGAAGATATTTTAAAGAATGTGGGTAACAGATTTGGTTTCCATTGACTTCCATGTACGGACAAAAAAACAAAACAAAAAAAAACAATGGAAATCAATGGGAAACCCACTATCCTAAAGAGAGATCCACCAATCAGAGAAGTTGCTGAATATCGCGCACTCAAATCAGTCACACACACTCAAATTTAACTGTATTAGGAAGTGGATTATGTGACAGTCACATCCTGCACCTTCATTGGGTGTTGCTGTGTATTTGCATAAAATATAACTTGGCTAAATTGTGTTGCATAGCCAAGGGTCTCCAGTGTTTGGTTTCCCTCATCACATTAAAAATTAATGACCATTGGTTGCTTTTTTGCTGCATATCACTGTCAATATGAACGTCCATTAAAGAAATGCTTCACCCAAAAATGAATTTTAATTTTTATGTGGAGTATCCCTTTAAAGTGGAAATTTCCTGTATTTTTATTAAGTTTCTGGTTATTGCTGTTTTCTAAAGAGATAACATTTCAATACATTTGTTATTTAAGCCTAATACTGTGTTTTTAGCAGTTAAAGAGATTAAAAATGTGTCATTTACTCACCCTTATGTCCTTCCTAACCTGTATGAGTTTCTTTCTTGTGTTGAACATAAAAGATATTTTGAAGAATGCTGGTAATCAAACAGTTGAACAATTCAATGCAATGCAATGATGATTGAGAGATGAACAAAAACTTTCCTCAAAAGCCTAATGAATCATGTTTGATGCTTAAATTTTAATCATTTAAATGTTATGATTTTTCTAAAAAATGATGTATGGAAAATCAAGAAAAACCTAAGTTGCTTCCTAAGGTGCATGTTTTTACGGCTATACTAAAATGCCTTTTGCTTGCTAAAAACATGAACTATCGATCAAACAACAGAAGGCATGTAGTAGATTGTGTGCAACAGATTTCTGAGCAGAGTTTTTATGATATTGATAATTTAGAGGCTTTAGCAATTCATGTATCAAATATGATACAGAAGGCTTTTTATAGGGTTAACAGAGGCACTCTAGCAATGCAGAAAAGCTGCCTGCGAGGACACCAAATGGAAAGTTGGCTAAGAGTTCCAGCACAGCTGTCGGGATGTGTTATGTAGCGTCTTCCTCTCTGTCAGTATGAGGAGGTGCGTGTGGAGCTGGCCGCGGTTCAGAGGGAGCTTGGAGGAGTGCGTGAAGCAGTGCAGGTGGAGGTGCGGGCCAGAGAGCGTCTGTCTCACGACCTGCAGGTCAAAACAGGTCAGGTGCACTCGCTGGAGGGACAACTCGAATCTGCCAGAAAGCTGACACAAAACCTCACACAGGAGATCAAACGGTGAGACGCACACACAAATCATCCTGTCTGTTTACATACCAAACTGAACCAAATCATATGACAATGATTAGCAGTTGAAATGTCATTTTATTCTTACAGTGATCCTTGCATCACTACTGTATTTATTTGTCTGTATTCAAAAATGAAATAATGTTCCAAATTAGGGTTGCGCAAAAATTTTTGAACTAATCTTTTATAACCCCAAATTGTTTGCGGACCCCATATCAAAGTGTCGTCAAAGTTCTGTCATCAGTTACTCACCCTTATGTTGTTCCAAACCTGTATGCATTTCTTTCTTCTGCTAAATACAAAAGAAGATATTTTAAAGAATGTGGGTAACAGATTTGGTTTCCATTGACTTCCATGTACGGACAAAAAAACAAAACAAAAAAAAACAATGGAAATCAATGGGAAACCCACTATCCTAAAGAGAGATCCACCAATCAGAGAAGTTGCTGAATATCGCGCACTCAAATCAGTCACACACACTCAAATTTAACTGTATTAGGAAGTGGATTATGTGACAGTCACATCCTGCACCTTCATTGGGTGTTGCTGTGTATTTGCATAAAATATAACTTGGCTAAATTGTGTTGCATAGCCAAGGGTCTCCAGTGTTTGGTTTCCCTCATCACATTAAAAATTAATGACCATTGGTTGCTTTTTTGCTGCATATCACTGTCAATATGAACGTCCATTAAAGAAATGCTTCACCCAAAAATGAATTTTAATTTTTATGTGGAGTATCCCTTTAAAGTGGAAATTTCCTGTATTTTTATTAAGTTTCTGGTTATTGCTGTTTTCTAAAGAGATAACATTTCAATACATTTGTTATTTAAGCCTAATACTGTGTTTTTAGCAGTTAAAGAGATTAAAAATGTGTCATTTACTCACCCTTATGTCCTTCCTAACCTGTATGAGTTTCTTTCTTGTGTTGAACATAAAAGATATTTTGAAGAATGCTGGTAATCAAACAGTTGATGGTCCCCATTGACTTCCGTAGTATTTTTTTCCCCCTATTATAGAAGTCAATGGGGACCAGCAACTGTTTGGTTCATCAAAATTCTTCAAAATATCTTCTTTTGTGTTCAACTTAAGAAAGAAGCTTATAGGTTTAGAACGACATGAGGGTGAGTAAATGAGAGAATTTTCATTTTTGGGTGAACTATTCCTTTAAAACCTTAACTAAAACAAAAAATTGTTTTCTTTAATTGCAATGAAGCTGAAATTAAAAAATTTGATGAAAACATAAAACATTACAAACTTAAAAACTGAAATATTAGAAATAATTAAACAAAAATTTGAAATGTTGTCTTAAACTAAATGAAATAATGTTTAATTTGAAGTACTAATAGTGAAATAAAAAAATAAAAGAATAAAATCTCATAAAGATGGCAAAAGCACATCACAAAGTTGCTTAACCTAAAATTTGTTAAAATGGGAACTGAAAATAAAAATAAAAGCTAATTCAAAATATTAATAAATACGATAATGCTATACCCTGGTGTGGCACTCGTGATGGGTCAGGCCTAAGGTGCTGTAGTGATTTCTGTACTACTAGTTAGCACCAAACTGAATTTAAATTTGTTTTTGAGAAACCTTTTTGCCCCATTACTCTGTTGTCTATATCGTCCTATAACAAGCACCATCTCTTTTTCTTTCTCTGCATGTAGGCTTGAGGCGGAGCTGGAAAAGCTGCAGAAGGGAAATGGCTCTGGGGAATCCATGTTGTTTTCCACACCTTGTTGGAACATGAGCTCTCCCTGGGACAACAACGGTAGCACCCCTCTAGTGTTCATTTCGTTAACGAAGACTATGATGAAAAATGTTCATTGACGAGCTTTTTTCCCATGACTAAGACGTGACGAAGACGAAACGATAATAAGGTCAATAAACGATAACTAAGACTATATCCACATGCAGTTTCGTTAACGAAATAAGACGAGACTAAAATGTATTAAAAAAAAATAAAAACTTTACCAAAAACCTCTTTTTATTTTCGTCAAAAAAGGAGACAATGTTATTGCAGACTGCTCTACACGCCTGTATACGCGAGCTTTCATGTGTGCGGTTGCCAGATATCAAGAGTTCTAATCCTCGAATCAGAGCTTCGCTGTTACATTGATACATTTTCTGCCCGGTGTTTTACTTATTTTAAGCAGTCTGGCAACCGTGCGCTCGCTCCTCATTGCAGAAGCGCTGCCGCCGATAATCTGAAAAACAAACAAGCTGGAGTTTAGCAATCTAAATGAAAGCGTCATTCATCCGGTCTGTGTTCTGTCATGAGATCTCGACTGTATTGTTTGCGGTTGTGATCGCTGAATAAATTCACTTACTCAACCGCTGTTGTTTTAATAGAGAAATAGTCTATTGTACGGTGGCCAAGAAGTGCAGAGCAAATCACAATTCTGAAAACAAAATAGCAAATTACAAACGCAAATGCAAGTCTAAAAAACAAAATAACAATTCAGAAAGCACAACAACAATTCAGAAAACATTATAACGAGTCAGAAAACACAACGACAAATCCGAAAACAAATTTACAAGTCAGAAAACACAACGACAAATCAGACAAACCGGTAAAGGTAGGTATTGTTTGAGACAGCGCCATTGGTTAGGGATTACTCACCGCTGACCGGACGAAAAGGGAGAAAAAAAAAGTTCGGCAAAAGGTGGGATCGAACCCGTCTCGATCGCGTCAAAAAGCCTAGGGCACGCACTTATCCATCAGCGGTGAGTAATCCAAACCAATGGCGCTGTCTCAAACTATACCTGCCTTTTCCGGTTTGTCTGATTTGTCGTTGTGTTTTCTGATTTGTTAATTTGTTTTCGGATTTGTCGTTGTGTTTTCTGACTTGTTATAATGTTTTCTGAATTGTTGTTGTGCTTTCTGAATTGTTATTTTGTTTTTTAGACTTGCATTTGCGTTTGTAATTTGTTATTTTGTTTTCAGAATTGTGATTTGCTCTGCACTTCTCGGCCACCGTACTATTGCGATTTGGAATTACTAGGAATTTCACTGTTATAATATTTTTTTTTTGTTTTAGTTTTCATAATGTAGACCGAGAGATTGCATAAGTCTTTGGTATTAATTTATATAATAAAAAGCCTATAATAAATATGTACACTAGATGTAAAATACACCATGTATGAGTCCACATTCTATTGATTTGTGCTTACTGGTGAAAATGCAATACTTGAAATGCAAAAGTAAATTTCTCAAATGACAACAATCATTACGATTATAATTGAGCAAAAATATTTTTTATCAGTTTAACCATTATACAGAATGACTTTAGGTTTTAGTCAATTTCATTGACTAAAACCTGACTAAAATGCTCATACATTTCATTGAATAAACAAAAATAGGACAAGTTTGTCTAAATATGATAACTAAAATGTACATTTGAGTAAGACTAAATTAAAAATGGCTGCCAAAATTAATACTGTAAGGTTAATTAATAATAATAACCTTATTGCTAAAATGTCAAGTTTTCATTGACTAAAACTAGACTAAAATACTTCAGGATTTCTTGGACTAAAACTAGACTAAAATGTTGAGACTTTTAGTCGACTAAAACTTGACTAAAACTAAATAGGATAAGGTTGACTAAATGTGATAAAAACTAACAAGGACATTTTAACACAGGACTAAGACTAAAATTAAAATAGCTGACAAAATTAACACTACACCCCTCACGCTCAGTGCATTTGTTTTTCACTTTTCTGCAAAATGTATCCCCTGATTAAAGCAGCACTATGTCACTTTTTCTGTGTTCAAAATTTGCAAATTTTGAGTTTGCAAAAGCGAGTACATCAAGAATTCATCTTCCAAATCGCGTTTTTGTCTTATTCCGAATCACTACGGTACACTTATAAGTACTTATATTTGGACTATTGTAGCCTGTTCGGGTCGTCACCGCTGTGGAGTAACACATACCTGCGTGAATCGCCATAGACATAAACTTAGAGAAGTAGCTCCGGTTGGAATGTTCTTCCGCGGGATGTGTGCAGTTCTGTTTATTAACCGCTAGAGCGCCAAAAGTTACATAGTACTGCTTTAAGTAGGGGAAGGAGTGTTTTATTTTTCTGAAGGTCCCTAAGGACTGATTGCGTGGTACACAATGTGTGATGGCATTGTTTCTCTCTGATTTTAACTTTGCTTTTGTGCATGTGGGATGCATCTAGAAAGATCTATTCGTCTTTATCTAACTCTGCAGGTGGTTTCAGAGCAGAGAGTGAAAGCAAAACACAGCATGCCAGAGTAAGTCACGTATACATTTAAGAGCAACCTCTTAATAAGAAATGTTGTTTATGAATATACTTCCTGACTCATTTCGCTGTGTTCTGTCTGTTGTAGCAGCAGCTGCAGTTTGGAGACGTCCCCAAGCCCTCAGTGGGTGGGGCTTCCTCCCCGTTTCCACAGCAACCTCATAAATCCCCACCCCTTCGGCGCAACATCCGCCAATCGGAACCGTCCACCCCCTCCTCTGTGTTTCCATGGGAACGTGAGGATTTGTGGTCCACTCCCAAAGGACGACCAGCTTCCTCGGTTTCATCCAGTGATGTCATAATCAAGAACAGTGACTCAGGGATGGAAGAAGCCTTGAGGAATGAGATAGATGGTGAGCTTCTCCACACACTATTGGGCTTTTAGAAGTTTTGCACTGAAAAGCTGAATTGAAATCAGTTTTTCAAGCATCGCTGAGTAAAACAAAACAAGGAATCTTTTTGCAACCAGCCTGACAATGCTCTTTATTTCTTAAATACTGAACTACAGTTTGAGTTACATCTCTCTTCCTGGGTTGTTTGAGTCCAGGACATTTGCTTTTCTGCTCTGTAATAATCATAAATGACAGCAGTCCAAAGTCACTATTTACAGGGTTTTGGCATGGCTTCCAATGAGATCAACCTGGTCAGTGGCATGAGAAGATTTGTGTAGTATTTGCATGTTTAAGGAAGTAGGAGATTTTTACAGCAGTCGTAGCTTCAGACTGTGTTGGAAATAAATTGGTTGCATACCTACGTGTGCCATAAGAATGTGTCTGTTTAAGGTTAAGGTAGTTTAAGGAAATAAAGTGTAGTTTTATTTATTTTGTGCAGCTCTGTTTGCCCATTAACCAAGGGAGAGTATCATGTTTATTCATTGAATGTCAGGTGGATTTACATAAGCATCCTGATTATTAGTGAGTGAAGTAGTCAGGTTTCCATTAATATCCTCCTAGTACAGGAGGCGCAAAAGTAACCCATCTACAGAATCTAATCCAAATAGAATTTGATGTTTTCTGTGACATTTAAAAGCAAGGATCTATAATATAAGTATTGCTAATAATTCTTAAAAGCACATAAACTACTGTTCAAATGTTTGGGCCGGGGGCAGTAAGATTTATTTGAAAGAGATCTCTTATGTTTACCAAGGATGCATTATTTGATCAAAAACGCAATAAAATGCATAATTTTATGAAATATTATTGCAATCTATTCAATGTAGAAAAAGGTTGTGCTGCTTAACATTTAGATTTTTTTCTTTGATGATTAGAAATTTAAAAAGAACAGCATTTATTACTGTTTACTGTTACTTTTGAATGAAATGCATCTTTGCTTAAAAAAATCCTTTCTTTATAAAAAAAAATGCCCGAGCCAAACTTTTTAAATCGTAGTATATAATATATATTTCTACCTTTTTCACTCTAAATCTGTGTTATCAAGTTATCAAGCATCAAAACATAATTACATACAGTGAATAAGATAGATATTTCTTTAGTACCTTTGCAAATTCAATTCAATCGAAAAGTTAACAGTCAACATTCAGCGTTCTTATATTCCAACATTTATGTAGATGGACTGATAAATGGCATAACTTAGCGTAAATGCTAATATTGTCCGATTTGTGGTATTGAGCTTTGTTGCAGCGTAAAATGAATAAAATGAGAGGAGGGAATTGTACACACTGACACATGCTGGTCTTATCTGTTGCCAGAATGGGACACATTTTTGAGGTGGTTTAGTGAGAGAGTGGGTGTGTCTATGTTGAGCAAGAGAGATCAGTTTTACACTGTGTGTGTGTGTGTGTGTGTGTGTGTGTGGTATGAATGTTCTCCATTGTTTTGTCTCTTTGTGCTGGTGAGTCATCAGTGAGGTAATCAGGGTTGGTCATCTCCACAGACAGCTCTCTGCAGCTCACACTATCACTGATTCTTCCCAATAAACACTTCCCTTCCAATGGCCTCTGGATCCGGAATGTAAACTTTTTTGGAATCTAAATTCGTCAAGAGAGGCTGTAATAAACTGTCGCTGTGGCAGGTGGTTCAGAAGGGTTTTAAAGGGGTCGTATCCAACACTTGAAACATTTCATTTCTTAAATATTCTAAGAAGGTTTTCACTGAAAGTTATTGTTTACCTGACTATTTCATGCATCTCGGTGACCCTAAGATTTACACAGGCTGTTTTTGCTACAATGGTAGCAAAATGACCAAAAGAAAATATGCTAAATTATATTTCAAATGAAGACAATGAAGCAAAACAATTTTTAAGGAATATTTTAACAAAAAAAACTTTAGGATCTTTTTACGAATTTTTTGTCATTGTAAGGAATGAGAATTTGAGGGAAAATAAATGCTGAATTGTCCTGAAAATAATGCTTATATTTTAATTTATTTAATTTATTTTATATATTACTGTTTTAATTCAAAATACATCAAACACTTATTTCAGAAGAGCCAAAAATATCAGTCAGAATGATAACATAAATAATTTAGTGACCGTCTGTCTCTCTCAGAGCTGCGTGTGCGTGTATCAGATCTACAGCGTGAGGCACAGCTGGAGTCTGAGCGCTTGAGGGACATGGAGTCTCGCCTGGCTCAGGCTAACAGAGAGATCAGCACCAAAGAACAGAGCCTGACACGCACGCAAGACCAGCTGACCCGTGCACAGACCCGCATCACACAAGAGACTGACCGGGTAATTTATTAATATTTATTTTAGTTAAAAATCACTGTCTGTACTGTGTATTAAATGTTTATAAAATGTCGCTGTGTGTCTGTAGGCCCAAGCTTCTGAGCAGAAAGTGAAGCAACTTCAGGAGGAACTGAAGTGTCAAATGCAGAATACTGAAACCAGCCGCTGCAACGCAGAGCAGCGCAGGAAAGACATGGAAAGAGAACATCAGAGGGTGAGACGGAGAACATGGACACGCTTGTGATTCATTGTTTCCTGCACTGCCCTGCTACTAAATACACAGCCTCATCGCTCTTTTATTTTTAGCTCCGAGTTGTAAGGTTCCTGTCTTGGAATTGATTGTTTTGTTTCCTTAATAATAGCTCTTTTCACAATGTATGTTATTTCAGTGCAGATGTACAGAAAATTGTGCCTTAAAGGGGTCATATGATGTTGCTAAGTCAAATTATGTTGAAAGAACATTATTTTGTGTATTTGGTGTAATGAAATGTGTTTATGCGTTTTAAGGTTAAAAAACACATTATTTTCCACATACTGCACATTCTTGTTTCTCCTCTATGCCCCGCCTTTCTGAAATGCGTCGATTTTTACAAAGCTCATCGTTCTGAAAAGCGAGGTATGCTGTGATTGGCCAGCTATCTAGTGCGTTGTGATTGGCCGAATACCTCAAGCGTCCGCGTAAACGTAAAACCATGTCTGCATTTGTGATCGGAGAAAAAATGACAAACAAGCGCTATTCTACACTGCTCAAAACTCGCGTTTGAATCATCAGTGGCAAATTCTTTACATATGAAAATTTACTTGCAGTCTGTGAGTCAGAATAGCCGGCATTGTAGTCTACTCTCCCAGGATCAGGAAACAAAGTAGTTTCGCTTTCACAAGCGTCACACACGACGGGCTTGAGTGAGCGGAGGCCGGTGGGCTTGAGAACGGCGCGGATTCGACGAAGGAGCGGCCGGCGGGCTTGCGGCAACCACATGTGATGACCCCGGGCTGGACTCCGCTTCGTCCACGGTGAAAGCCGATCCGGCGATCCACAGCGCGAAGTTGATGTATTTCCTCAGCGACCAGCACGGATCAGCTCTAGGCATGACGAAGCGGATATCGTCCTCTTTTGGAAGGCCAAACAAAGTAGTTTCGCTTTCACAACGAAACACAGCGTCTCCACAACATGGCGGAAACAGCGAGAATAAAAGTTACGCCTTCTTTCTTTGTGTGAACATTTGGGCGGCGTTATGCAAAGATTTCCCACATCGTCACGTAGACATGTGGGAGCGTGTTAGAACGAGCCGTTTTAGGTAGGCGTGGTTAACTCTTAACTTTTATAAAGCATATCTCTTTGGATTTGAGACTTTAGTCTTTGCAAATTTACAGATCTTCTTTATGCACCAAGAGCTTGTAACGCTTGTAATTTTTGTAAAGGAAAAATTGAAATCGCATCATATGACCCCTTTAAAGTCCCACAGTGACTGGAGATGGTTGTGATGTGTTGTGTAGGAGCTGTTGGAGCTGCAAAGAGAGAGACAGGCTCTGGAGAGACAAAATCAGCAGGAGAGCAACAGACTCAACCAGGAGATCCAGCAGGCCAGAACACTTCACAACACGCTGCAGGCTCAGCACGACAAGGTACCAGGGCTGAAGAGTAACTAGATGTAGCGACCCTGCTGAATTGACTAGAATAGTGTAGGCGTTGCTCAGCCTTTATATAAATAGTTACTTAGAAGTTATGCTATTGCTATTACTTTGTGTTTGCCCTGGTAATAAAAAATACAGCCAAAAAAATTCCACTTTAAAAAGGGGGTCCCACACATATCTAGGCAAGCCTTGATCTAGTAGGAAACCCCTACAAAACCAGAGCAAAGTCCTAACAGCAATTCAGATCCACCTTTTAACAACTTGGTAGTGCTTTAGCAATCACTCCGTGAATACCCTTGTAACTGCTTAGCAACACACTAACAACCATTTAAAGGGATAGTTCACCTGAAAATGAAAATGACCTCATGATTTACTCGCCCTCAAGCCATCCTAGGTGTATATGACTTTCTTCTTTCAGCTTTATAATGGCAGTGAATGGGGGTCAAGATTTTGAAGTCCAAAAAAGTGCATCCATCCATCATAAAAAGTACTCCACACAGCTCCGGGGGGATAACCTTCTGAAGCAAAGCGATGCGCTTGTGTAAGAAAAATATCCACATTTAAAACTTTATAAACCGTAATCTCTAGCTTCTGCTAAGTGTCGTTTGCACATTCACGAGAGTGGCGTTTCAATGGATAAATTGAAAAGCATCTGTTTTATTGACATCTTTCCACAGGTTGAAACACTGATCTTTCAAGAAATCTTCTGATGTTCATTCATATTTATTTCATGCTGTAGTCCGTAGTAAAGAAAAACGGTTCACGTGCGCCCCATGCTAAATGTATTGTTTGCGTTTTGTGATCAAATTGACAGGCTTAGAAATCTAAGACGGTGTTTCCCATACATTGATTTATTTGTGGCGGACTGCCACAATACCAAAACTGACTGCCACAAGTAGATTTTCCAAAAGGCTTTGACTTCGTTGAATAGACATGAGCACTGCACGTTTCAAAATCAAAACGCAGCGCGGGTATTTTTATAACACTGTATTTCTAAAGGAAACTGACTCTCTTCAGAAAATTTTCAACGTCATTTTCATTTCATCTTGCATGTAATGCCTGAAAAGTAGTGGAGCAGAGCACTGCTTTGTGTACAGCCGTTACCGGGAAACCGCTATTTCTCCTGCTCTAAAATCGCCTCCTGCTGGCAAAGAATGAAATTGCATGCATATATATATATATATATATATATATGTGTATGTATGTGTGTATATATATATATATATA